TATATATATATATATATATATATATATATATATATATATAAATATGTAAAATCAGAATTTCAAGCAAAATAATGATATTTCTGCAAAGATTACGTCCTATTGATTGAACTGAATTAAAAACTCTTTTGCATGGTGAAAGTGCGTGCAAAAATGAAGCGAAGTATCCAACAATATGAGACCAAAACAATAATGAACAGTTATTATCACGACATCGAATCTTTCTGCAAAGATTACTTCTTCCTACTTGCGTCGAATTAAAAACTCTTTTTGCAAGTACATCTAGGTACTATCTACTTTGCCTTTTTTCACTAAATGACTTAATAAATTTGTAATAATTTGACCCCAATTTATTTTTAAATGTCGCGCAGTATCTCTTCATTAATATTACTAAACCAAGATTTTAACTCTCCCCTAACATATATATTGCCAAATGTGATGTTCTTCTTTATATCTTCTTTCAATTTTCAGCTTACCTCTCATTTTCTTTATCATTCTGACTTTGTTCTCTCTTTTAAAATTTATAATTAGTATTGTTATTAATATTTGTGTAGTATTGTTATTTTCCTGTTCGGTATTTTTTCCGTTCTAGCTAATCTATATATGGCTTTATTCCTTTTATCCCTATGTGGAATGATATCCATGCTAAAATGATTTTTTCCCTCCTATCTTTCTTGAATATCGAAATACATTTTTTTCATTTGCCAAAATTGCAGTTCGTAATTTTAATCTGAAACACTAAGGAATATAAGGGATATATTATTTATGATGTTCTTGTCTATCGACATATGTGAAAATTTTTTTATTTTCGAAAAAATAAAATAGCAAGTAAAAATTTATTTTGATGAGTAAAAAGCTCGTTCTTAACTGCTATTTTATTGTAGGAGAAAAGTTGCCATTGAATTGATCTAAACAAAGTAATATTTTAATCAATCCCTTCTTTTTAACTCACCTTCTTTATCCCTAAAACGACACTAACGCTACATAGTTCCAATCTTTTTTTTTTATATTTGAAAATAGTCTAAATATTCACAAGCCTCGACACATTGATTTGCGCTCTTTTATTCTGAAATTTAAAGTCCATATAAATTGTTATAGCTGGTCGGTATTAATAGCACCGAACCTGGCGTAGTACACTTCAAAGTCGAAAGCCTGCAATGTAGAGTCGGATTAAATCCGCAACATTTGCAATCCCTTCACATAAAAGTTCAACCACTACCAGAACATAAAGATCAATGGACTCTGGAGGAATTACAGGTGATTAAAAGACACTTTCTCTCATTCAACGCGCCATATTTATGACGCGCTACTCTACTCGAGTTTGCAATAACCAATTTGTGTGATTGCAGATATTAGAAAAATTCTTCGACACGCGAGCGGCCGCTCCACCATACAAACCTAACACGCTGTCCGGTTTTGGCAAACTGCTCAATGTGCCTTTCAACGTCTTGAAAGATTTCGTGCAGATAATGAAGCTGGAGCTGGTTCCCAGTCTCGTGCAGCAACAGCAGTTGAAATGGTCTATTCAGTGGTGCCTGCGCATCCCACCATCCGCTACGCCAATCATACCCACTGGCATGGCGGGAGTAATCGTTTGTAGAAACAAAATCTTATTCTTTGTAAGTACACATACGATCACCTTTTGCGCTGCGATACACTCATTCGATCGACCGTTAAATCGTTTACACGGTGCTAGTATTTTCGCAGCTGCAAATAACGAGGATAGGTATAACGTATCAAGGAGAACCACCGTCATTGGTGTTGCCAATCGTATATGACGTCGGGGCGAATTTAACGCAACTGGCGGAAAAGAGAGATCCCGGTTCCGGGATCGCGGCAGCGGGTATACAATTGAAGAGATTCAGTGATTACAGTTCGACCCAACCGGAATGTACACTGTTCCCTGCTGTGAGGGACCTCCTAGCCAATTTCACGTTACCGTCGGAGCCACCGGTTATGTCACAAGTAATAACATCGTTACAAAGCTTAAGATGAAAAGCGTTTTATCTTACTAAAAGAGCTCGTGTATATGCATGACTCAACGAAAAAATTAATGAATCTTATATCATGATCTCTTTTTGTTGTAATAAGAATATCACTACTCGCTTGAAATTCACTTGAATATCTGTGTAACAGGTTGTAGCGTCTCCTGTATCAGGCCAAGTAAACCCTACACAAATTCAGAACCCGGCGATGCAATTACATTCGCCTATGGCGGGCGGCCAAGGACCACCGCAAGGACCGTACGGTATTCAAGGCATGATACCAATGGGCATGATGAACGGGCCACCTCAATAGGACTTACTTTATCTCCCTAATCCCCTTTGTATATCAAGTTATCCAATGTGGATGAACTCTTTCTAGAAATGTAAAATTAAATAATTTATCATATGTACAATCAACTCGAGATGAAAAGAGATAAGGGACGTAAGATGTAAATTCCGAAACTCACTTTGTCTATAAATAAAATAAAAAATGGATAATTATAAAATATGTGTAAATATGTGTGTGCGTGCGTGCGTGCGTGTGTGTGTGTGTACATTGCAAAGAATCAAACAAAGCTTTATTTCCAAATAAAAGATTTTATTTGGAAGTTTTAAGATGGAAAGCCGTAAAAAGTTGGAAATTGGGAGAATTTAAATTTTGAATAAATTTTTCATTTTTCATCGAAACTCTAAGACTTTTTTTAAAGCAATTTTTTATAGCAATTTAAAATAAAAATTACATTAGACTGTAGATCTCTCCATTGTTTAGCATTACATATCACCCATTATTGCTAAACATCTTGAATGAGATTCTGACTAAAGAGTTCGTCCCATCGCATTACATATACACTCGTTCCTCAATTTTTTTTAAATTAATAATATTAATTAATTAATTTTTAAATTAATAATTATAATAGTTGTTTGCAAAATAGCACAGGAGTTTTCATTTAAAATTGTGAGTGTTACCTGCATATGAACAAACGTACGCATTACGTTGGATATTCTATATATAGGCGAGTCGTGATTTCGTCTGCGAGCGAGTGCTCAGGAAGTATTATGGAGTATAACAAGCACTCATGAAATCGTCCACGTAAAAGGTTTTCTGATTCGACACCAGCGAGAGAATCGTACCTGGAACACGACGCCTCAACCGATATCACTGTATTTTCAAGGTTCTCATCCTCGCAGTTGCTTCACCCATTGTACGGAGCATCTGTGCTGAAACTACTTTCTAAATCAAATGTTTGAAACACTATTTACACCTACCTGATATCCCTCGAGTAATATAATTTCCACAATAAGAAATCGAGATCAAAAGATTAATTATGAATTTTTATTTGTTATTTCTTTGTTTTGCGTTTTATCCTTAGAGTGTTGCCAATAATTTTGTATGATTTCTTTTAATTGTGACATTTAGTTCATTTTATTTATATTATAATTTATAAATATATACTTGTCAATAATGGTTTTTTAATTTGAGATCCCTAATGTTGATCAATTGATCTTGCAATACAAGTGTATTTCACCTAATTCTATTGTGTGAACTGAAATCTATGAATCCTGAAAAAAGCTGAAAGTTCATCGAAGCAGATGGTATTAAATTCTGAATTATATAAACAGTATTAACTCTATCATAACTGCGCTTAATCTTATATATAATAAATCTTTGTTTGTCTCCAAACTTTACATTATCCTTACTTAACAATTATTTTTAATTATAAACAGTTCTAGCAAAATTTTATGCAAGTGAAATAGATTGAGAATGAATGAATTTTAGCTTCTTTAATACACAAAATTTGCGCAATAACAATAGGGAAGTTTTTATTTACTATTCCTTTTCGGATTGAAAATAATTAATATATTGTATATTTTATATGGCATTTTATGAATAACATAAAATCTTTATTTTGGTTCTGTGTGAATGTGTATGTGTACAACTTTATTTTTACATAAAAACATGTAATACTCAATTAATCGTACTATATCATTAATATATGCAATTGTACAGTATTCATAGTTTCCTTGTATCTTTGTGTATATATATATGCGCGCATCTGTGTGTGTGTGTATACGTTGTGTGTAAGTAATATATATTTAACATAATTAATGTATATTATATATGTAATAATATATTGGAATACAATTGTATATCACTAATCGCATTTCAAATATATACATTCTTTTAGGTCAGGTATCAGTCTCTGTATAAAAAATTTGAATATATCTTGATACACACTTATTCTTTGCAAGAACTTTTAACTGCATTGAAATAAAGATAAACATTACCAAACATCTTAAGCTTTGTTGAAGTTAAATTAAGCAGTATCCTGCATCCTTCATCATACGTTATGCTTCATGATTTGATCACAATTTTAATATAACATCTCAAGTATAATTTGGAAAAATAATTTTTTGTAATAGTTTATTGCATCTTTAGTGCCAAAAATATACGTAATATGAATGTTATTTTAAATTTACAGAGAATAATGCTAAATTTATTATAACATCATAGCATACAGCTATAATACGCGCTTTATACAATATTTTATCATAATTCCAGAATAAACACTTAAACTTGTCACATTAATCTTGGCTCGATTTTCATAAATTCTACAGAAAATTCTAAACTGATGCCTTAGCTTCATGTTTTTAAATCTTTTGTTGATGATAAACACACAGCTTTTCTGAAATTTATACATTCAATATTATGGAACACACTATATTAAACTGCATTGCAAGAATCAGGTGATCTATATTGCAATTTATCCCTATTTAATTCAATGTTAAGCGATCTCGTGGTAGCTGAATATAAGTGTAAACTAGTATCTTTTAAAACAATAAATAGACACATACTGCTGTTTTAAATGGTCTTCTTATTCGTCCCAATTCTATAGTATAAATGTTATATGCAGAAAATAATTTACGAAAAAATTCCATCTGCGTTATTGTTATTTTCTGTATAGGAGTTAGATTGCAATAGAAAAAACCTTTACATTATTTCAAGATGGACAACTATAAAAATGTTTAGAAATAAATATAAATATTTATAGTGCGTAACATGCAAAATATTTGTGTTTTTCACTTCTAAATTAAACTGCACATTATAAAAACAAGCATTTTACTACATATCATAGTTTTTAAACTATCAACTAACGAGTTAATGAGAGAATACCTCAACCCTCCAATTAGTCTGTGCGGTATTTCATGTATATTACATTTATATGAGTAACGTATTATAGTGTCCACATCAATTGTGTATTGTATGGTATGTATATATATGCATATATATATATATGCATATATATATGTGCATATATACGTATATGTATAATAAAATATTTTTTTATATGATATAATTTTTAAGTTCAATGCACGTATATCTCAGAGGTAAAAGGAGGTTTGATTGTTATTCCTTCATTGAGAATGATGATGTGCAGCACAGTTTCATACACGGCAATTGACAAAGAAAAGAGAGTTCATGTTCAATATAAATGTGTGATACCTTGACTTTTTTCGTGATATATACACAAGATAAATATATAAAATTCTTTTTCCAATATACGCGCCATCAGAGTAAAGACGCAGCCTCGCTGTTGTCCAGATATTTGTGTGTCTGCTACATCTGATCATTTGTTAACCAGGTACATTAGGAAAATACAAAGCTAGAAACATACATCATATGAAGTCAAAATATATTATATAAATATATGAGACTTTCTTTACGTAAATCAGTTATAAAATTTTACTTATGTAATCCCCTTATTTTCCGCATTAATAATATAAACTTTTTGTTAAAAATATTTACGTTTTAACTTCATGAACTCGTTAGTATTTGACAATAACACATGTATCTGTCCAACTGCTATTTTGAGTGTAAAGCTATTGTTATGTACGTAGTAAGTGTATGTGAAAAGCTTTTACACAATTTCGTTGAACGCAATAAAAAATGTTAAAAAGAAAAAGAAAGAATGAAAAAAATATACAGAAAATAATAATGCGAGAAAAAGAATACGTCAGCTTCTTGTTACGATTATATCGTCATATATTCCACTGTCCATTCCGAAATGGACGTAACGCGTGAGTATTACGAGTTTATATGATACAAGCATCTAAAATATTTATGAAAATATCTAATGTTATCGAGAGAGTTGCATATGTACAGAGCTACTATCCATTATCGACATGATGATCTGTAGACGACAAACGCCGCGGAGAACAAAAGGAAATAGTGTTGCACAATAGTTCATTATCGGATTTTGTCGCCTTCGCGGTACATACGGATACGGCACCTCAAGTCTCAACTGGCTATTATTTTAAACGCTTGTACCTCCACAATATAAACACTTAGCAGAAACTACGAAACGTTGTCAGTCTACAGTGACGTAGAGATATTTTGTATTAGCTATAATTCAATAGTTACTTTTTTTCTTACAATTATATACAAGTGCAAGTAACAGCACGTACTTCACAGATTACAATATTTCAAAATATATAACTTAGGGGGGATACGTGTTCTCTCAGGATTATTCTTTTCCTCTTTTTTTTCGACGACAGACCTTTTGCAGCGAAAGTTGTATTAAAATAATTTTGTACTTGTTCCCTCTTTTTGTATTTTCGCTGCGACGTATGCACACAGAGCCAGCCTCTCTTTAAGAAAAGCACGATGTGCATATATATATGTGTGTGTGTGTGTGTGTGTGTGTGTGTGTGTGTGTGTCAAAGTGTGTGTACATATATATATATATATATATATATATATATTTATATCGCCTAAAAAATATCTTCTACGTCACTGCCAGCGTATTTCCCGAAACGTTTCGTCATACAAGCGTCAGGATTTTGTGTCTGTTGGCCGACTTCTCAGCTAGCCTAGGCTGGGCTAGCGGCTAGAGTTTCAAGCAAGCAAGGCACAGGAGCACAAAGGGCTCAACGTGCTAGGAGGCACTACTCAACAGTTCCATGCTCTTAATGCCTCGTCAACAGCAGCACCAACAAGTTAACACTGGAAACGAAAATGTCTAGAATGTGCGGCATGAACAATTAGTATAGCTATGTAAAAGAGCATCGTAAAACTACCGTCCAATCTTTCGTTTTTACGTTTATCGTCAAATTGCGTTGTACGTACGCGCACGCTGGCACAGAAAAAGAACTATTGTTAATTTGTAGCTTTCGTCGTGTCAAAGTACCATCACACACACGAACCAACGTACACTATGCGATTCGCGGATCACGGCAGCCTCTAAAGAAGAGATTCGTCGTGCGATCTATCGTCGTTAAATCTAGGAAAGTCTCAGGTACTGAAAACAAAGCGTAAGTAAGTTTTTTTGTGCATCGATATATTCCTATTTTTTTATTTTCTTCCTCTTTTGGTCTTGCCGACACATTGGCGCACGCACAATGCATAACGAGATATACACGCGATCGTATATTGTCGAATGTGTGTCTCTTCGATTTATCCATGAACGCTATCCACCCCCCAAAATGAACAAAGAATCGCGAGTTTACCTAGAACGTATCCGCGTACCAATATATACCTCGCGAGGCTACAAAAATATATTCTACTCAAATATATATATAAATATATATATATGTATGTATATATACACGGCAATTAGCATTGATATCCGGACACTATGATACTTTGGAAACAATATCTCGAAAATAACCCATCTCCAATTCCTCGAGTAGTCCGCATCAGCTCACTATAACGCGCGTTCAAGTCGATTTCTTGAATTTTCAGTCTTAGAGTCCTCTACCTTTATCCCTTGCGTGTGCTCGGTGCGCATACGTACAGAGATGGCGTATACAGTTTGTTAAACATTCAAAGTACACTAACACACATTATATGAGTTTCTTGTCAAGATATAGACTTCTCCTCTCGAAATTGTACGTTATTCTTCATTTTATAGTAATACATTTTTATGTTCTTTATACATGTAAACGTGAGAATGAGATTCCTCATCTCGTGATACATCTGTTAGGTACCATATAGTGTTCGCAACATCGAGACAATAGACTGTTGACTAAACTACACTAACTAGTGAGAGAGGAAAAAATAGAAACAAGAGAAAAAAGGAAAAGAAAACAAGAGACTGTCGATATTGTCACACATTGCATATGACAATTCCGAGTAGAAATTACTTGGCCACGTGCGTTCGATAATTTGTGTCGATAGTCGTCGAGTACGAATGAATTTTTATTTAAATCTAAAGTTACGGCACGAGAAATGCCTGAATAAAACGACGACGATAGGCCCAATTGCACATTTGGCTTTGATAAATGCATCAAATATAACATTCACCCAGGATTTCGTTTCGCTCCAATAAAAAACTTGTAAGGCGTGTGTTAATGGAAAAATAAAAGAAATCTTTACGCTATATATTGTATGTCTATATACATATATATACACATGTAAATATGTGTGTGCGGATACATGTGTGTATATATGTGTGTGTGTGTGTGTGTGTGTGTGTGTGTGTGTTTGTGTGTGTGTGCATATACATATATAAAATTATATAATTACATATTATTTATTATATAATTATAATAATTAGATCTATGTATTTTTTATATTTGTGTATATATACACATACGACTAATACACACACACACACACATATATATATATATATAATATAAATACAAGTATATATATATTTATATTATATATATTACGAGCGTGAAGATTTCTTCTGGCTTTAGTTACTCTCTACGTACAATAGTGATCCGTCATCGAGATAATATACTATAGACGCTGAAACATAATAATCGCAATTTGATTAATGGCCATACCGTTAATGCGCAAGCACACTTATAATTTTTGTAATCTGTGAGTTCACGTTCTTTTGCTATGTGATGTTATTTCATACGAGATATACTTTTTCGTTTACCGAAAAGCCGTCAGCAATAAGCACTCCGCACCTGTTATAGCCTGCGTGAGATCGATGCAATCGGGCCTTTCTCTCTCTCCCACTCTCTCACTCTCTCAATACCTCTCTCTCTCTCTCTCTTTCTCTCCATCCGTCATATCTGTCACTCTGTCAAAATTATATACAACAGCATGGCCATGCAAGAATAGAGAGCAAAGCTACCATGCCTCAATAGAATTAATGAAAGAAAAAAAAATGTTTGTAGAGCAGCCACTCGATGGTGGGTAACAGATATCTAGACGCTGCCGGAGCAGCGAGGCAGGTGAGGTCAACTGTCAACTGACAGCTTCACCTCCGTCTTACTTGAAACCAAACCCCATCAAAATCATCATCATCCTTACTTCGGCACCTCACCAGGCCTGTCTCGACGATACGTCTACACAAGCTAAAAGAACCAAGTTCATTTGTCAATGCTTTCTTTCAAAGTGATGGGGGTCTACTACTTTTATAGAGGATGGATATTGTGTGATTGCTTGGATGGATATACACTATGTGTGACATTTTGTGATCCTCCGCCCGACGAGGCAGGTAAGTGCGCCTCGTCGTGGGGGGATAGGGGACACAAATGTGAAATTGTGCTGCACTCAACAACACTATTTTCACTATCGACCCACTTACGGATCGTCTATATAACGTTAACGGAAACCTGTGCGATAGTTTCTGTTTTTTTTTTTGTTTGTTCTTACTGACGGACAACGGAATGTGTGAGATATTGGAAGTAACTGTGCGATTGTACCGTAAAAGAAAAGGTCTCATGCCGAGAACAATGCGATCGGACAAAATATCGATGATTTAAAGAATTCAAGCGAGTTGCTCGAGAGTGTGACACGGAAAATAAAAGTACGTAGTAATTGATACAAACAATTGGAAACGTTATTACACGTGGATTTCGGGTTTCATTGATTTCCACCTTCCCCGAGTGCGACAACTTGGACGCTGTGGTTAACGGCCGAGGAGCATTCCGGTGTGATATGTATAAAATTGGTCATTTCCGATTGAGCTTAAAAGCGGATGGATGACGCACGACACCGCGCAATAATATTTATCACACGTTGAGTCCAATTACACGCGAATAATAATTATAATATTATACCATAATAATAATATATGTGATAATAATATATAAAATATATATAATACGTATAAAAAAAATTATATTATGTTTAATAATTATAATATTATAAGCGCGTCTCTTTCTCTCTCTCTCTCTCATAAATATGAACGTATGTTTTCCTGCGATCGTATACTCCGTACAAAACAAAAAAATTTTCCACATTTTCTGACAAAAATTAAAAAAAATATATTAACGACAAATGCTTCGCCGATTTGCGCTCGACCCTTTCAAAGTATCAAATATATGAATATTTCTGATAGTTATATGAAAGTACTCATACGACACAAATAGAGTTATGCCTATCCTCGACATCTCTAACTCCTCCGTCACTTCTTCCGTCGTCATTTTCGCGTCACTGAGAGAGGAGAAGATTCTACAAGCGCGTTGGGAAGAAATTCGGACAATCAGCGAATACTCGACGGCGTCGACCACAACGTCCGTGTCACAGCCGGGTCTCGGTGAATGCGAGAAAGAAGCGAGTGCGATTCGATAATACATTGGGCGGTTTTAACATCGAGATAAAGCGCAGCTTGACGGCTGTTAGCGGTTCGGCGCGGACTCTGGCGATCATTTTTGGCACATGCAACCGGGGATCCGGTGTTCGGGCGAACACCTTCTCGTCCTTGCGCGCTTTCCGCCCGATGCGATTTCTGTCAAGATCGGACACGTCAACATGCCAGTGGTAGCGGATAATCGAAGGGCTCGCTACCGGAAACGATCGATTAATCTGCCGGCCTGTCGGCCGAATGCAACGACGTTCCCCGCGGACCGCCCAGCCGATCGTCAGCCCTTCGACATTCGTTACGCCATAGCTACGAGATTTACACGCAGTCAGAGAGAGCACGATGCGATACGATGCTACACCGGACTGCGCCGCCACTGCGTTGGAAAACACGTATGTACATGTATGTATATATATATGCATATATGTATAGTACAGAGGTACTTTGTAAGATATCTACGTATGTATGGTATGGTATGTATGTATAGGTATGTATATATGTATATATACACGTACAAACACAGTCGAGGTATTCGCGAAGTCCTTAAAGGAAAAAGAACTGCGTTCTTTTCATGGCAGAAAGCTTAGCACATTCTGCTCTCGAAGGTTACTCCTTGCCAGAAGGTTCTACGCATCGATAAACTGCAAAGTGTCAAAGAGATCACATTTTACCGTCAATGAACAGAACTGGCAGCCCTACTAACGGCCGAGCAGCGGTCGTTCAGCGAAAATCGTAAGTTACTCTCACGCGCTCACAACACTCTAGCGGATCTAGTAACTGACTTTAACACCGAGCCTACCATGTTGTGGGCGCCAATGGAAGCAGACTAGGTACAGCGCCAGAACAATGACCAGAAACTCGATTAGAGGCAGAGTAGCAGCCACGCTGATCACTATCGCCTCGTTCTCCTTTATGGCGGTTACTATGGCCTTGTAGCAACCCTGCAAATAAACGGGCAGTTTACACAGGAACGTCGGATTGAGACGCGATCACAGGTTAATCCCTTCGTAATCGTACAGATAAAGAATCGAGGCTTTTTACGTTTCGTCCGAAGAAACCTCCGTCTTGCTATGCGCGAACGATTGGGAGATCATTTTTATTCTTCAAACGGAGCCATATGCGTGCTCCTTTGCATACGTCGCTCCTCTTCGATAGACCGCGCTTAGAACGTGTTTCACTTCGCGTTATTTTATTGTACATGAATACATTCTAATTTATCGTATCTGATATATATTGTTGCGCCGTCAAGGGGGATGAATTTAGCTGTCCAGGACTCGCCAGGACTCGTTCACGTTGAGAGAATCGATCCTTGTCCCCGAAACCGCGAGCGCAATAATATTATATTCCAGTCTCTCACTCCAAAGTTATCAGAGATATCTCATATGAGATATTAACTTTTAGCTTTACGATTCTGCCTTAATGCTTTTTTGCAGGAAATCAAGAAGATGCTATCATGCGTAACGCGAGACTATCTGCCTGGATATATCTTTACGGATGCCTCGACACGCGCAAGGGTTAGGAGCACGCAATGCCAATGTCGAGTCGACTTAGAAAATTGTCAGAGAGAAAGTGTGCTATACGTGAATACACGTCCGCGCGCGATTTCCACTCGTACACACGGTGGCGATTACGCTAACGTGTTAGGTGGTGCGTGGCACTACCTAACGATAAGCTCGGAATACGTTGAAACACAGCACGACGAAAGTCTCGACTTGAACGTTGTTCAAAACCAGAAATTCATAAAAATCCTGAAGATCCTAATTACTTCGGACGCTCGAAAGTCTGGAGAGAGTCAACTGCTGTCACCGTGCGATCCATCTGCACGTTGCTCGCACACAGGCGTATGCAGCACACTGCACGTTTATTAGTGTTATTATTATTATTAAATAAACGAGAGAACATAATATCTCCTTTAGAAAAATCATAGAGACACTGCACTTGTATGTATCGCATTCAAGAGAATAGTTTACAATTAAACGGCAGAAAAAATTGTCATCAAAGCAAGTGAACATTCTTCAAGCTTTCGAGACGTTCAAGTATCACGAGATTTCCCAAGATTTTTAGGAACTCAGGACTTTAAATATCTAAAGCAATTCGGCTCGTGTGTCTGAATTGTTTGAAAATTTGACGAGCTGAACGTCCGTCATCGGCGCTATCCAGCGTTAATAATATCCAATACGAAATATACATAAAAATAATTGTAATAAAGATCATAGCTTACCGTTTCAGAGTACGAGTTTGAGGCAGTGGGACTGATTGGACAGGAAGGATCCTTCAAAACGTCATTCTCTTTTATGCAACAGGCGTCGGGAACCATCTTTCCAGTCGCGGTGAAATTCGTATTCTCGCTGAAGTCTCGATAGCTCTCCACGCCGCAACAATGGAACTGAAAACATTCGCGTTTAAACGTCATGCATCTTGAATGCTCTATGATTTATAGTTTCGTAATCGAAAAGATAAATAGACGGAGACAGAGATAAGATGCATTGTAAATATTAGAAAAATACTGAATGACAAACAAATCTCGAGTATCGAGCTTTTGTTCATCTTATTCGTCGAAAGAATCGCTCTCGAATTTATTCCACGACAAATTGACATGAATTTATATTTCAACAAAAAGTTATTTGAATGCCGAGTTCCGTGTGATACGCGACAGTGAACACGATAGCACTCGTCCGCGATACCACCAGCTTTCACCAAAGCGCTGTGCAGTTAGCGATCCCACTTGGCCGGTTAATCGCACTCACACACGCGAGGCGAATGAAAACCGGAAGATTCGATGCAACATCGCTAATTCACGCATTAGTTCGCGTTAATCGCGCCCGAGAGTGCATTAACGTCGCCGGTTAAGGGGAAGCTGAAGCTGAAAACTTTACCGACAGAACACTAACATTTTTCTGCAAAGTTTACGTCGTATTGGTTAGCCAGAATTACAAATGTTTTTATGCAATGAAAGTACGTGTAAAAATAAATAGGAGCATTGCTCGATATGTGACAAAAACGAACAAAAAATTTTTAATGTAAAATCTCAAGCTGTCAGCGTAATATTTGTCTAATCCAAAAATTCTGCATCTTGTATATATTGAAAATGTGGATGCTTCAAACAGAAAAATTTTGAAGAACATTGCTCTACCTTTGCATTTGCATTTGGAAGCTTAAAAATATCGAAAAGTTTGCAGAAAGATTTCTACACATATATGGTTAGGTTTTCCGTTGAATATGGTAAAATAAAGCAATACACATTCATGTAAGTTCTGTACATACAAGAAATACGAAAAAAATAGCGTAATTATATTAGTGACGATCGTTTCTGCATTATCGACATTGTTCGAGTTCGTCATCGACTCCAGCATCCCCTTAAGTGCGACGATTAGTGAGACCTCACCTGACTCATGATTCCGTCCCATGCGACTGTCACGGTTTCAGCTCTATCGGCAGTAGTCGCGTAATACTTGATGGTCGACTTCAAGAAGTCTTGCGTACCTTTCTCAACCTGCATAAATTTCACATTACGATTAATCTTACTAGCTATACATATGAGCGGATCGTCATTTATTCCCCAACAGGCGCATCTACCCTGCGATTATCGTAATCACTGGCGATACGTGATAAGGAGGAATTTGCGGATATAACAGTTATTGAATACGCACATCTCTAAATCCACAAGCGAGTCCAATTACCACACACTCCAGGAGCAAAACCAGCGCGATTAGAATGACGTACTGTAAGCACAGAAAAACGTTCTTGCACTTTCCGTTCAACATATATCTGCTTTCGTTGTACCATGAATGGAAAAAAGAGAAAGGGAATCGAATCAAAATGTCTCGAAGGTCCCGTGTTCTTAAGCAGCGAGAGAAATAAACCAAAAGTATCAATCATTTAATAGTCAATAGGACCATTCGTCCGTGACGAATACATCTTTATACTCGAACAATAATTTTTACTCGATTAAATAGTTATTTAAATCGTGTTCTATCTAGCAAACTGTATTTTTCTTTCTTTTCAATTTTACTGGGCAAAATTTTGTTAAGGTATTTTGTTCTATTAAGCCAAGATTTAATATTTAAATAATTTATCTATGCTTCTGTATTTTTTAAATACAGGTGTATCTGCTACGATTGAAACGACGATAATATTTTATCAGAATGCGTATACCGATTGATTCTTATTATTCCATTTCCTGCCTGATAATACGTTATCGGAGAAATTCTTGTCATCCTCTATCTGAGAACGGTGTGAATGATGACAAACGATACAAGTTTCATTAGAACGGACTTACGACACAAAGAAGACACCTAGACTCGAACATGGCACCGCAATATCCAAGAAAACTGACGATGAATGTGAGGGCACCGGCTATGATAAGAATGTAGGCGATCACTTTGATGACATCGGCATCCGTTTTATTCTGCAAAATAAGAAGGCGCTATGAGAATGCGAATTATCGCGTTAAGTATTCATCGTCGAACACGGTGCGAGATCACGCAACGCTTTATGAATTCTGGAATTCCTAATCCAAGTCACGTGTTTGTCGCTACACTTGCTTATTGACGAGCAGTTATTTGCATCGATTACCGACAAGTGTAAGAATTTATTATGGTCGGATCATTACTAATGTGCTAACAGGGCGATTAACAGGCGTATGTGAGACATTTGACAAGCACAAAATATCGTCAACATGTATGACAACGATGTAAATCAGATTGGGATCAAATGGAAATGTGGAAATGAAACAGACTATAAGCGGGCGATTAATCTGAGGCCAAAAGTGTATCTTACTGTTCCGTGTCGTATAGTAAACGATCAGTTGGATCAGAGCGAGACAGACACTTAGACGTCTGTTCTGGATTTTCTTTTATCGACAAAACTGCCTCTAAATATGCTTACGAGTCAATCGGAAAATTCATAAGTCACATTTAGAGGATTTCTCAAAAAAAGAGTTCAAAATAAGGACCTTAGACGATTGGAACGGAACTGCGGGTGTCACGAAAGTACAATATTTGGGATTCTTTTTTTTCATTTCGAAGGAATGCCTACATATTTACACACATGGATTCAAAAGGAAATTCAACCTACCTGCTGGTAATTAACTTTAGAATCCTAAATATTAAAAAGTTACGTGAATTCGAAACATAGATAAATTTCACCCAACTCATTTTCTTTCGTTCATAACTCCCGGAAAAATGACCTCCTTGGAATTTATAAGATGTTTTCTTATCTTATATAGAAATTGTCAAAAAATATGGTTTTATTAATATTTTTGCGATTCAATAAAGTTGAAAAAAAATAAAGAAACAAAATACATACTTTTAAGAATGGTGAGGTTAAAAAAGCTGGTGAATTTTACCCATGTTCAGGATTCTAGAGTTAATTAATAGCGGAACAAATTCGATTCCAATGAGGATTCTTCTCGCACATCGATGTATGCACATTAATTATATTAATGCATCTCTCTTTTTCTTCCTTAGTCATTGGAATCAACAACCGGAGACCTTGCGCGTATGAGCCGCGAATAAACCATCAAGTTTGAGCTCCCGTCGACTCACCGTAAGGCATCTATGCGAGTATTGTACGTCGTTACAAAACATGCTTATGATACATCACGGCGTATGACATAATGACTTGCGAACAGCACTTGGAATACTTATAAGCTCGCTACATACGAACTGCCGTCTCCGTCGTGTACACGAAGTGGTATCGAGTTTCACGAAGACAGATCGGAGTAACACAGACGTCCCTTTATGCGGGCTTTATGAGAGACGCGGCGTATCCAGCAGTATTCGCCGGCTCTTAATCGTGGCTTCGCGGTAGAACTCGTTATGGTCTCTCTTGTCGTTTTTATTGCAGTTCGCGAAGTAGAATGGAAAAATTCGTCCCTCCTCAATCGGAATATTGCTCGAATAAGTTGTGCCTCTTCCCCCAACTGACTGCCCCATTGGCGGTCATTAATAGCCACAAAATCGCTTTTTCTCATTGACTTGCGCATAAAATCGATTGTTTATAACAAATTAAACGCATAGTGCCGACAGAGTGTCGGCGAGACAAGCCGGCGAACATACGTATTGGAAATTGCGCATTTGTTTACAATCGAACTTTACAATATCACAATAGCATTTGTTGAAGTTCGGCGATTCAAACTTCGGTCGAGCGTCGAAGCAATCGACGGAAATCAACGTCAACGTGTTAATTTACCCAGAGGTCCTGATTGCGCCATTGAATCGAAAATTTTTCTCATGCAGAGAACTTTCTGGGATACAACTCTACCCCAGAGAACTTTTCAATTGCGCCATCAACAATGTCGAGCAAAACACAGAGGAAGAACAAAGCGAGTCGAGCCGCCTGCACTTGTTTCCAAGTGCACGTGCTGAGAACGCCTCTGATTCAGAGACGGATGATCCACGGCTGGATTCTCCAATTAACGGATTAAGGATTCAAAGGACGCATCTCGGCGGTGCTAATAACTCAATAATACAACATAAACTCCGGTCTCGCGACGGCGAGGGGTTGTAAATGTCGCTATCTCGTTTTCTCACCAAGTTACTTGAGATAAATCGAACGGGCGAACGGGCTGCTGCTGCGTGTGGCATTCGAGTTTACGCGTCAGATAAGACAATCGTATTACATGACGCATCGTTTCGCGTTCGCCAGGATGAGCGAGCTCGAGCAATTCAGTCTCTGGATATACACACAAACAGACCAACACACAATTGGCCAGATACACGCGCGAGATCAGGTCGATTTCTATTGTGCTTGCCGCGCGTATTACTTGGCGAGCGCGTTGACATTCTTATCTCGAACACCTGTTGAACGGACATAAGAGGTATTTTTAGTCCGATACATCGAGCACGTTTAGTATAGGCGCGCCGCCGCCGTCTCGGGCGTCTTACCGGACGTCGTTGCTGACGAGACGGCGAAGCGTGCCGCGAAAAATCAGGTCACCGGGTGAAAGGACTAATAAGGGTATCTTGTGTTCGGTTTCACCGACTTGTTCCGCCAGATTGATCGGAGCTGTTCAAGCACGGCGAGTGAGTGGAATCGGGCGCGTCACTCCGATGAAATTCTCAAACAACCCGGAGGTCCTCGGCTCTTCGACCTTTCTTTATGAATGAAACGATATGTTCGATGCGCGTAACGAGCAATAGGAAGTCGTCGCGGGCGTGTCCTCTCTTCAAGTGGATCGGTAAAAATGTCTCTGAGTGAAGCAAGGGTGTGTCTCACCGATAATCGGTGAACATTCACTGATTTTCAGTGCGAACACTCCCACATCACTGTTCTATCTTACGTCTCACTGATCTCCACCAGTGGCAGTGAGATATCACTGCAATATCTGTAGTGCACAAATTCGTTAAGCAAAATTCAACTCTCTGTAATCAGTAGGGGGCGAATGACAGCCAAACGTCGACAGAAAAGCGAACAACAGCAGCAGTATAAAACAGTTCAACCGTGTTTGTTAATTTCCAAACATCTCGGTCCTATGTTCGGACTCTCTTCAATGTGGGGAAGAAAATACATGATTAATAGGTGCAACGCTGATGTAGCTCCCTAAAACCTTGTGTATGTTGTCCAACACAAACAATAATCTTGAAGTCCACATCAAGAACAGAATGTTATCATTAGTTTAGGTTAATTTGAACAGTGGTGGTCCAACTCTCTGCGTTTGTTACGATGGAATTAACGGCTTCAGTGCAATGACACTATTTGTTCTATAGTACACACACGCTCTCAAAATATATAACTTAAATCAAACATATCTTTGGGCAAGTAAGAGCTTTACGCAGATGTTGGAATAATTTGGAAGCAAATAATAGGCAATCTTGATTTAATTAAGAAGATTAATTAATATCAAATTAATATTAAAATAAAATATAATATTAATATTAAAAATTCAGGATTCAGGATCGATTTGACGTGGAAGGTTGGTTCACCGCGTACGTGACTGGAAAACTTATCTAGCGCGTGCGTTGACAAACATTATTATTCTCCCAACATTTGGTTTAGATATTCGCTCCAACATTAAGCGTTAAGCTCTTATTCGCCTCAAGATATGTTTGATTTAAGTTGGACACTATCTATGTTCGCAGAATGCATCAATAATGGGAATAATATAGCTATTATTAACTGATTCTCTCAGCGAGATTTTACCAATTGCAGCGCCATACTTACGACTGAACCGCCAGTTACAAGTGTAGCATTCCAATGAAGAATACGTTGATTATACTTTAGAGAGTCGTGTTTAATGAGTGCGATCAGCTTTAAATCCGTGGCGTTTGTATTATCGTGATTTCTCGCGAAGTGCCGGCGGATTTATCGTATCATTTTCGTTAAACCGTTAAGCACCGTTGAGATCACCGCGCTCGCTGAAGAACATGAAGAACTAATCGAAGCGGGGCTTGATGACGCGGAATGACAACGCTCGTAACTCAAGAGTAATTGTGTTTTCGACATTTTTGCACGAGGACTTTCTTAGATCTTTCTTTTAAGCTCCGAAGTAAGCGATTAATATGTCCTGCGACAGCTCCGTAATAGCCTGTGTACAGGATATCTCAAAGGACACGACCTGCATTTTGCAGGAGAACTTCTTTGAGAGATTTTTCTTGCTACACTGAGAGAAGTTATTCGATAAAAATTAACAAACGGATATTTCCAATCAAAATACCAATGAATTTTTGTATTCGATCAGGAAACATTCGAGGAGAAATATCGGTTCATAATTTTTTGATCGATTTATCTGATGAAATGCCATTATGATCGGAAATATCTGATTAAATTTAATCGGACATAAAAATTTATTGATATTTTGATTGGAAATATCTGCTTGTTAATTTTTTATTGGATAATTTCTTTCAGTATATTCTATATCGTAATATAATCATATTTATAAGTAAAAGTATAACTTTTTGTTGTGCAAAGGAAGCTTTTTACCATATACTTTTAGTAAAATAATAATAATAATAATTTAGAGTTAACTGTAAGTTGATGCAAAATTGACGCCGAGACGTTAATGAGTTCCGATGTACACTCGATCAGAAAAAATTTTCCGCGAAAATCGCAACTTCGAGCGAGTAGATGAATTAATAAAATTGTTTCCCTCGACCAATTTCACAAGTGGACTTCACTTTAATAGAATTTTAATTTGGAGCTTAGTTATACAATGATATGTCATGCTGAAAATTAAAAAGTCGCCGTAAATTATGATCTTACACGACATTTCCGCTGGGGAAATATTATCTCCAGATTGTTCGTAGAATCTCTCGGTGAAATTAAGGCCATGATCCTCGGACGTCCTGTATTTCCGTAGCTCAAAAGAAAAAAACTGATAACCGCTTTTTCGTGGTTGTCTGACGTTTATGCATGAAAGCAATTTTATAATAAAAATTACAGGAATTAGAGCAACATACCGTTCCACTT